TATCTCCCTTTTAGGAGCTCTTTTCTCTGTAAGTCTGCAAGCGCATCAGATATATGATTGATGAATACAAAACATTCTTTCTACTTCACTGTTCTCCTAATTTGCTCTGCTGATGCCCTCGCAAGTGACTTCCATCCATCTAAGAAAAAAGTTTGATGTTCTTGGTCAGCTGTCATTTGACTTAGGAGGCGCAAGGCTATAGCGCGAACGGATGCAAGGTACCCGGCCGGCTAGCTTGGAGTGTGGCTCTAGTTTGGTTGTCAATATCACTAGTGCGCCAGCACCTTGATCAGAGTGGCTGTGCAACCAGGCTGGAATGACCCTTGCCTACCGGGAAGGCAGCTGAATCAACGCCCAAGAGCACAAAGTAAAAAGCATGGCTCGCCATTAACCGTATGGAGTAGGATACTGGCACAGAATCTACTTCGTGAAAGCGATGTCATAGTCTTCGCATCTAAGCAAAGTGCGTCCAGACCCTTGTCAAGGCTTATTTTCCGAGCCGAGTAGTTGCTGTTGGTGAAAGCGTCTTAGCTCCGAGCTCCGAGACGGCGGTAACATGTCACTCTCGTCATATTGCTTTCCCAGTATCTCCCTCTCAGACGCACCATCCTCAACCTCATAGGGATCGAGCATTCCGTGTTCTTGTAGTTCGAATTCGAAGTCTTGACGCGTTGCCGATGGTCGATTTGCTTCGAAACTTTCGACAAAAGATGGGGCGACGTGCCTGAGGAAGAGCCGCAAGGTTGGGAGGGAACCGGTAATGATGATAAGACTAGCTTCGATGAGGCTAACGGAGCTTGTCAGCGAGGGATGCAAAGAGCTGACGCTCGGCGAAAGCTGCGCACTTACATCCACAGACTAGGGTAAACAGTGTCCCAAGAGGCGTCTTTGGAAGTCAACATTGGAGGAAGTAATGCGACACGCACCGCACTCGTCACGCATGTACTAGCATATGAGTCAGTCATACTCGCGTACCTGGAGCTGGAAGCTTACATCGAGCCAACACCGAAAATGCCTATCACCATGATCTTCCGCTCCTTCGACATGTGCAGTCGCAAAACCATGGGTATAGGTAGGATGATGACCATGATATCTGTGATGATGTTCAGTACCCCAGTAGCGATGTACAACGCCGCTTTGTTCAAGCATTGCCCTTCTGTGACGGTCACGTCGATGTTCTTTGCAAACGGTTCGCATGCTGCGAGTAAAGAGATGACGATGCCGACACAGGATCCGACGACAACGAATATGGTGAAGTAGACTCCAGCGCGGAAGCTGCGTGCGGGGCTCAAGTTGAGATAGAGACAGAGGAAGGACAACTTTGCGAAGGCGAGAGCTGGCGAGTACAGCACAGTGGTCGTCAGCGTTATCTAGAGTCCTGGAAGTCAGCGAACGATGCTGCCGAGCTTGCCGACGGGAGACCGACTTTTGCGATAGTGTTCAGTTGATGACCGGTAAGTTCCCAGGCATGTACACCGATCAAACCTGCGGGTGCCCTATCTGCGATGCTGTTGTTAATCTCGTTCTATAGAACGAAGAAGCAACGGGCAGAACTTACAAATGATGAGTGACTGTACAGGTATGGCAAGGACCTGCCAATCGACGACCAGCTCATGTCAGCCATGAGCTTTCATCGACAGAAGAATCGTGACCACCTACCCAGGCAAGGAGCAGGCAATCTGGCGCAGCTGTTAGTAAGGATGCACTGCGTGAATGGGGAAGACTTACAGTCGTCAGACGACAGTTTCTTAACTAATACAACTTTGGTGTACGCTCGAACAGCCAACAGAAACGTGGAAATAACCGTTCCCACGATTCCAATCCAGAGGATAATGAGTTCACCTCGTCTTTGTGGGTTCTCGAGATCTACCACATAGTCGTCTGGTGCGGGTACAATTGGCTGGGTGAGATCCGCCATCTTCCTGCGAGATTGCTTGCTGTGGAGGCAGCCCTCAGTTGGGGTGCATTAAACAGCAAGACGGGGGCATTACTTCGATTTGAGTCTCACTGTCTCGCAGGATTCGAAACAAGCTTATTTGGCAGATCCAGCCAAATGGTAATCCACCTAAGCGAAGCAGGTTGATTGATCCGGACATTTCATGTGCCGCTATTGTGAGCGAGGCTGAAAGCATAATGCAATGCGTCCCGTCCATACTGTCCCCTGTAATGGCAATGATGAATCTTGATCTAACTTTATCGATAGCGCAATCCTTCCGACTCAGCTTGCAGACGTGTTGAATCCCAGTATCGTCCATCACATCTTTGTGCGCCTGTCTCAAAGTCATCTCCATCGAGTACCTAGACTTTACTCGTATCGAATTGCCTTTCAGTTACTACAAGGCGATATACGGTGGCTTGAATTAGAGGTCCCGATGTGTCGCACAGCCGAACTGCCGTGGCATTGCTGCCACGCTGCTAGGGAAATCCTGCGGGACCAGGCCACCTGGGCAGGAAAGGGGAACATGCGCGAAGGATGCAGGCGAACGAGTTGCGGGTCAATCATCGACTCAGCCGTGTCGGTACTCGATCTCATTGGATCGAGAGTCGTGTCGCTTGATAGACGGCAGAGCCGCGACGGTGTTATTCTTCCATGGGGATGCCGCCCGCAGCCGTGCTTCCGTGGACACCAAGAAATGGCTGCGCGTTACTTGATTGGAACTAGCGCGAACTTCATCAGTAAGTTTCTCCGATGGATGCTGCTCCTGCCCCATTTTCTCCATGATCACGATACCTAGATTCGCCATAAACCTCACGGCAGACTCCAGATTCGATGTAGTCGAGTCAATGCCGTCGGTACGGAGGCATCCGCCGCAATGATCCAAAGAGTGTAGAGATCATTTTCGGCTGCAGCCATCCGCGACCTTGCAGACTCGGTCAAAGAGCTTTCACACCTTCGGCGGGCATCTAGTCCACCTATGGGATCAGTATCATATGGCTGATGACCCGAATTTTCACAAGTTTCTGAGCTGTTTCGTCCTCCTCGTTAAGGTCCACTCACCGACTGTTCTTGCATCATGTTCTGTCTGAGCTGGGCCTTGGTCGCCGCGACCCTGCTCAGCGCAACGCGCGCCCAAAACGAATCCTACTGTGTAAGCTTTATGTTGCCTTGGGATGCTGTTCTGACTTTTCTCAGTGCACAGCTCTGACTCAGAGTCCTGTAGCCAAGCGCGTAACCTACCCTGGTCAAAATGCGTACGACGCTAGCATTGCCTCTTACTTCGATGGAAAGAGCAGACTGTCGCCCAGCTGTATCGTGCAGCCCACAAACGCCGAGGAAGTGGCTACAATTGTCAAGGCTCTTAAGACTGCCAGCACGCAGAAGACTTGCAAATTTGCCGTACGATCTGGTGGCCATACTCCGATTCCTGGCGCCAACAATGTCGACGATGGCGTCACAATTGATCTGCTGAACATGAATGGAACCACCTACAATGCCGAATCCGAGGTGGCAAGCATCTTACCAGCGGCGAGATGGGGCTCTGTCTACGCAGCTCTTGAGCCATTAGGACGTATGGTAGCCGGAGGTCGAGGCAGTACCGTCGGCGTTGGTGGCTACCTACTGGGTGGTGGCATATCTCACTACGCACCTCGCGTTGGATTGTCATGTGACAACGTGATCAATTTTCAGGTCGTCCTTGCCGATGGTCGCATCGTGAATGCCAACAAGACGTCCAATGCTGATCTCTTCACCGCTCTCAAAGGGGGTAATAGCAACTTTGGCATTGTAACACGTTACGATATGGAGACTTTTGAGAACGAAGATCTCTGGGGAGGTATCGTCTCGTGGCCTGCATCCACCGTCGATCAGCATTTCAAGTCGCTCGTCGACTTTGGTCTCGACCCTAACAGGGATCCAAACGCTGCTCTGATCCTGTTCCAAGGATACTCAACAGCCAGTCCAGTGAACGTCGTGAGAGCTGCGTTCGATTACACCAAGCCCGTGGCTCGCCCAGATGCCTACCGCGAGTTTCTCGCCGTCAACAACACCCTCAGCGATTCTACCAAGATCCAGCCAATGAGCGCGATTGCTGCCGAATTTGGTAGTGATACGACCAAGCGGTATGTCTCCGCTGTCTTCGATGTGAGACTGTCGCTAATACAATCAACTAGAGTTCAATTCCGCACCCTCTCATACAAGATTGACTATGAGACACTTCAAGAGACAGCACGGCTCTACGATATCATGCTTACGGAGCTTCGAGCCAAGGCGTCCGGCCAGTGGCGCATCTCATGTTTACATCAGGTTTTTGCCACAAGCTACACGGCAAATAGTACAGCGAGAGGCGGCAACGTGCTGGGGTTGGAACGTTACAGCGAGAACTTCATCATGTACCAGTCATATTTGCTTTGGTCTGAAGCGAAGGATGATGACTTGTTCATTAGTCAGGGCAAGATGTTGACCGACGGCATCCAGAAGTTTGCCACGGAGAAGGGCACAGCGGTGGATTATCTGTACCTCAACTATGCCGATAAGGACCAGGATCCGCTTTCGGCTTACGGTGCAGACAAGGTTGCGTTTATGAAGAAGGTCGCGAAGAAGTACGATCCAACTGGTGTGTACCAGAGATTACTTCCGGGAGGGTTCAAGATTTCTCAAGTGTGAGGGTCACAAACCTACTACAAACTACAAACCTCAAATATATTACCCGATTAGGAAGTTCTCAGAAAGCGTCGATTATAGCAAGGTATGTTCAGGCACCTCAGTGTCGTGGAAGACCTGCAGACCCTGCTGTCGTCGGCGCGAGGTTTGCCATGTCCGCTGTGAGTTCATTGGTCAATCGAATCGACTTGGCTTGGAACTGGTTATTTCGCGAATGAATTGGTGTAACAGCTTCCATGTGGATGCGTGCAAACCTATCTTGAGACAAATATACCTTGCTATTGCAGATGTTCCGATGTTCCATCGATGGCGGTGGATCGCGCAGCGACTTTACTATGAATGGCTGCCCCGCGCAGCTAGCGACGCCAACCTCGTCGCGTCGCGTCGCGACTTACAAACCTCATTTAGCTGCAATGACCTGATCCGCTACATGCTGGCACAACTCAACAGCCGGCTGTTTCTTCAAGATGACGAACACAGGAACCTCAATGCCGAATTGCTTGAGGAACCAGTACCTCAGCTCAACCGCAATGAGCGAGTCAACACCAAGCACATAGGCCGGCTTGCCGACGTCGAGATTCTCCGCCGGTATCGACAGCGACTTGCTCAGCTTTCCAAGTAACGCCGACGTTACAATCTGCCCAGCCTCCTTCGCATCAGCGGCCGCCTTGATGAGGGCGAGGTAGTCGACCGCTGCCGCTTCGCCTTCGCCACCGGCCCCGGTGCCGTTGACCAGCTCGACTTGACCCAGACGAAGGAGGTTCTTGAACAGCGGCTTACCCACCCAGTGCAACACCCCATCCTGGAACATCCGATACAGCTTCGAAGGCTTATCATGGATATTCACCACCTGCGCCGCGCCGCCGGCGCAATCGTATCCAGGATCACACAAGACATCCAGAATCGCCATTAGCTGCTTCTGCGTCAGCCCGCCCAGCCCAGCGCGCAAACTCTTCGTCACGTCCTCAAAGTTATCGCTCGCCCACCCAGCCTCTAGCACCAAGCCGAGATCGAACGAAACGCCCTTTAGCCCACTGGCGGCACGGTGCCGCGCGAGTGCATCTTCGAAAGTGTTGCCGGCTGCATAGTTGGCTTGCGCAGGGTTGCCGATGATGCCGCTCATGGAGGAGAGGAACACCATAAAGTCCATATCCTTCGGCAGGAGCTCGTGCAGGTTCCACGAGCCTTGATATTTGGGCGCCAGTGCGCGGTGGAACTGCGAGACGGTCATGTTAGAGAGCATGTTGTCCGACAATACCATCGCCGCCTGGATGCAGCCCTTGATCGGCGGCAACGTTTTGCTAGCCTCCTCGAGGGTGCTCTTGAGGACCGCGCGGTTCGAGATATCCGACGCCGGCGCATGGACTACGACGCCTTGGGCCTCCATCTCCTTGATGAAGGCGATCACATCGGCGCGCCCAGCTACGCCTCGCGACGAGGTGACGAGGAAATGCCGTGCGCCGCGGGACGCCATCCAGCGCATGATCTCGCGCCCCAAACCGCCCAAACCGCCGCTAATAACATATGTAGCTTGCCCCTCAAATGCGTACGCCGGCTTCTGCGCGGGCTGATACACGACCACATCTCCCGACTTTTCGAAATCGATGACCGCCTTCCCTGCAATCTTGCCGCCCTGCAACGCGCGCATCGCGTCCTCAATCTTACTCGGCGCAAACGCATGCAGTGGCTTGGGGTTGTGAAGCCCAGGATTCGCCGCGAACAGACTAAAGACGTCGTCGAGCACGAGTTGCATCAGGGGCTTGTTCTCGGCGTACATACCCGCGACGTCGACGGCCGCGAAGGTGACATTGCGCAGGAAGTGGCCCATCTCGAGCGTGTTGTTGGCGAGGATATCAGCCTTGCCAATATCGATGAAGCGACCGAAGGGCGCCGTGCAGCGCCATGAGTGCTGGAGGAGTTCGCCGCCGAGGGAGTTGAGGACGACGTCGACACCGCGATTAGCTGTGGCATGGAACACATCGTCGACGAAGCTCGCCTCTCTGCTGTGGAAGATGTGGTCGTCCGCGAGGCCGTACAGCTCCCGGACCAGCTGGCGCTTCCACTCGCTTCCAACCGTGACGAACACCTCCGCCCCACGCAGCTGCGCGAGCTGTATAGCAGCCTGTCCCACCGCACCAGCTCCGGCGTGAATCAATACACTCTCGCCCTTGCGCAGCCGTCCCACATAGTCGAAAGCATACACAACCGTAGCCCATACAGCAGGAATGGCAGCCGCATCCAAGAACGAGATGTCTTCGCGTGGGATCCTACGCGTCGATGCCTCGTCGCAGCGTACGTAGGTTCCGCAGCAGCCACCTGTCGAGAAGATGAAGTACATGACGCGGTCGCCAGGTTGCAATGTGCAGTCTGGTCCGGCGCGGATAACGGTGCCGGACCCTTCGAGACCGAGACCATCACCTGGCACTTGTCCCAGGGAGATCATCACATCGCGGAAGTTGAGGGAGGCAGCTGCTACTTCGATTTCAACTTCACCGGGTTGCAGCTCTGTGCTGGAAGGTATTGTCTCGGTATAGTACAGGGTGTCGAGTAAGCCAGGCTGTTGGATGGTCAAGTTGATGCGCGGTTTCGGGGATGCTTGGCCAAGCGTGAGAGCGACTTTCTCGGGAAGCTTTGCGCGCGCGGCAAGGGTCTGATTAACGCTCTTCTGTGGGACGATTCGCGGAATGTGGATGAGGCCGTTGTGCACTGCGAACTCGGAATCGGCGTCTGCGCTCTTGTCTCCTATCTTGTGGAAGTGCTCCAAGAGGCGGACCACATGGCTCGCTCCCTCAGCGGGGTCATTGGTCTCCAAACTCAGGGTGACGAAGGCCTGATCACCCCGCTCAGAGCAGATACTTCTCGAGAAACCGACTGCCATCTCAGCGGCAGGGTTGCCAGCACCAGGACTGCCGCCGCGTGTGAGCCAGAGGACTGTCTTAGCGTCCAAGCTGATCTTTTTGAGGGCTTCGAACTCGGGTTCTGCTATGGTGCCGAGGATGGAAGTATCGAGCTCGAGCAAGCTGATGACTCTGGTGCTGCTCAAATCCAATTCAGCGGCAATGAGACCTTCGAGAGTATGTGTCTCAGTCTTGCCGATCCACGGCAAAGTAGTGAGCTTCGCCATCAGCGTATCGGCAGAAGTAGCCTGCGCAGCATCCGCGATGATCACCCACCTTTCAAGCGCAGCTTGAACCTCAGCCTCCTCTGGCCTCGTTGCGACGAGCGTTGAGACACGGTGCCGAGGTTTGTACTCGTTATCCCTAAACACCATGTCGACACCTGAGAAGCCCGCCGTCTTCAGCGCAGCATTCCATCCTTCTTCGGTCAAAATCGGACCCAGCGCCTCGTCTTCTCCGGGTACGGCGTCAACATCTTCGCCTTCCCACCAATGGCCCTCGCGCATCCACCACCCTGGAAGCAAGCCGAAGATGATGCCGTCGCGGATGTTGTCGACTGTGGTCTCCATCATGATGAGTTTTCCGCCAGGGCGCAGGAGAGCGTAGAGATCGCGGAGACACTTCATGAGATCCGATGTGGTGTGAATCACGTTGCAGGCCATAATCACGTCGTAGCTGCCGAGCTCGAAGCCCTGGAGAGAGGGGTCGATCTCTAAGTCCAGTTTGGCGAAGCGCATATGCTTCTCTGCGAATGCGAACTTCTCGCGAGCCTTCTCAAAGAAGCCGACTGAGATGTCGGTGTAGGCATACTCGCTGAAGCGCACCAACTGATCAGCCTGAAGGCCTTCATCATCTACCAAAAATGGTAGCACTTTAGAAGTGGCACTGCCAGTCCCTGAGCCAACCTCGCAGATCCTGAGCTGAGGATTCGCGTGTGCAAGGATGTTCATATACGCGCCAGCCTTGCGGTAGTGGCGCGAGTAGAAGTCGCAGTGGTAGAAATCTGTCCCTGTGTTAGTCTCTTTGTTTCCATCTCCACAGTATGTGTTGTTGAGCTTACCATTAGCAAGATTGCCTTCGAAGATAATCTGCAACGCATTGTCCGTCCCTGTCAATATCCCATAGAGATGTTCACCAGCCTTCTTGACAAGCTTCTGCGTCGGCTCGTTGTCCGCTTCACGCAAGACATCCTCGATGCTCAAGTCCTCCAATCCCCGCGACGCCAATGTGTACTTCTCCCTATTTGCACGGACCTTGCGCAGGAAGTCCACATACTTGGTCAAGTGGTTGTCGAACGTCACCGGCTCGCCATTCTCGATCTTATCAAGCGCTTGCTCGATGAAGTATAGTGCGATAGCGTCCGCGCGATCGACAGCCTCCGCATCCTTGGGGTCGGGTGAGAACTGCGGGTCGCGCGCGAAGAGCGCCTTCAAGTATGTCTCTGTCTCGGCTTTGCTTAGCAGCGAGAGGTCGGGCTTGAAATCAATGCCGTACGAGAAACAACTTGCACCATCATCGTCACGCGTACTGCTACCTGCGCCGGCAATGACAGTTCCACGCTCACCCTTGGCAACAATGACAGGCTCGCCTGTCTCAGCAAGCAACGTGCTGGCATCCCACTCGAACTCCCTGAACGTGCGGGCCACCTCCTTGGTCGCGACATGAAGCAGCGGGTTGTCAGGCAGCGTGAACAGCTTGTGCGACACCCACAGGTCCTTCAGGTTGCTGAACATCAGCGTTGGAATTGGCTCCCATCCACCCATACTCAGTGAAACGAAGCCCACATGGAATACCGAGTCGAACGTTGTGGGATGAATGACACACGGGTCCTCGGCGGCATACGGCATACTCTTCGCATAGTCCCGAAGCGCAAGAGTACCAGTCGCACACCCGTTGCGGGAGTACTTGATGTCTCGCAGGCCCTGGAAGTACGGTCCATAGTCGAATCCAGACTTTTTACTCAGGTTTTCGTACAGCTGACCACTCTGTACGCTCAACGTACATTGCTTCGCGGCGCTTGTGTGCTCCTCGCCCACAGCTTTCGCCCATCTAACCTTGCGTGCGGTTGTTTCTGGAGAAGGCTCGGCCTCCTCTAGCTCGACGCGAATGCTACCGAATGCGCACTCAATCCACTCATTCCCGCCAAGAGTGAAGACACGCCAATCATACACGCCCTGCGCGGCATCCTTGGCTGTGTGCCGTCGCGGTTGAAGGTAGATCTTCGCCTCAGTGCCCTTCTCCGTCTCGTTCACGGGGATAGAGCGCATGAACCGAATGTTTTCGAGCTTGTACCCGCTGATTGCGGCGTTGGGCGGAAGCAGCTGCCGCGCAGCTTCGATGGCCATGACCAGCATGCCCGTGCCGGGGTAGAGCGGCGAGCCTTCGAGCGCATGGTCAACGATCCAAGGAGCTTCCGCGAGGCGTATCTTGTGATGCCAGGTGGGTTGAGCTGAGTTGAAGTCGTTTTCGCGTAGACCCAGGAGAGCATGTCGCCGGAAGGGGCGCTGGGAGTAGAGGGCGCTGAGACGGGGTTCGTCCCAGTAGAGCTTGGCCCGGGAGAAGGGGTAGGCGGGAAGATCTGTTAGTCGCTTTGGCTTGGCTGTAGGCTTGAGAGTGGCTTGGTTGGGCAAGTTGAGGTCGATCGGGAGGCCAGCGCTCCAAAGGGCGCCGATGGTTTCCAGGAGGGTGCGGACGTCAGGCTGACGAGGGTTGAGCACAGCTGCGTACGACCATTTTTCCTCGCCTTCGCCTAGGTGCTTAAGAATATCTTTGACGGGGCGTCGAAGAGCGGATTGAGGACCGATCTCGACGAAGAATTTGGAGACCTGCTTCTTTTCGCTTACCAGCGCTGTTACCGCGTCGGTGAACAGGACTGGGGAGAGCAGGTTCTTCACCCAGTAGCTCGGGCTCGCAAGACCCTCCAGTGTGATGAAGCTGCCTTCGGTGGATGAGAAGAAGGCGACAGTACTCGGCTCCTTGCCTTCCTTTACCGGTGCGCGTATCCCAGCTAGTAAACCCTCATACTCCACCGCGCCATCGCGCAACGCCTCGGAATGATACCCAATCTTCATAGTCAGTTTCCGTGCGAAGATCTCATCAGCATCCAGCGTGTCGAATAAGCGCGAGATAGCCACTGTGGGACCTGACAACGTGACGTTGATAGGACTGTTCTCGCATGCGACAGTCACCGCTGGCTCGGCCTTCAGGTATGCCTGGACAGCCTCCTTGCCCAAGCCCACAGACATCATCGTTGTCGACTCTCTCGCGGGGTCAGAGGCCAGCTTGTCGGCCACAACACCGCGGAAGTAAGCCACGCGCCATGCGCTCTCGCGATCTAGACCACCCGCACAGTACGCAGCCGCGATTTCACCGGACGAATGGCCAACGATGGCACGGGGAACGATACCCCATGTGCGAAGTAGATCGACGAGCGCCACTTGAATAGCTGTACAGAGAGGTTGTGACAGCGCCGGCTTGGACACCTGACTAGCCTCCTCACTCTTCTTAAGCTCTTCTAGCACAGACCATGTGCTACCAAGACTGGTGAGATAGGCTTCGCAGTCTTCAAGACTTTGACGAAAGACGGGATAATGCAGCAGACCGGTGGCCATACGCGCATACTGCGCGCCTTGACCCGTGAACACGAAGGACAAGTCTGGAGCGGAAGAAGTACTGCTGAAGACGCTCGGCGAGATGAGTGCGGTGAGGTCATCGGTAGGGGAGGAGAGGACGGCGAAAGACCTGAATTGGAGAAGAGATCTGTGGGAAGAGAGCGTGTGTGTTAGACCTGAGAGGAAGTTTGCGCTGTTCGTGACTTCTTTTGATGAGAGGAACATCTGGAGGGCTTCTGCTTGGCGCATTGTGCCGTCGCTGTCTGCGGCTGAGAAGGGGATGATAGCGTAGGGGGTTGCGGATGCGAGGGTGCCGTTGCCGTTTGTGTGGCCATTGGTTTGTCCGTTGGTATGTATGGACTCTCCAACAGATTGGTGCAAGCCTTGAAGGCCATGGGTGCGCAGGTAGTTGTACGCGTCGTCGAGGATGACATGGGCGTTGCTACCGCCGTAGCCGAAAGAGGAAACGGATGCCCGGCGGATTTCTGTTGCTGGCCATGGGACTGCCTCTTTGGGGAACGCGAGCTGCAAATCTGCCACATCGATAGCAGGATTCGGCTTCTCAAACATGGCGATTGGCGGAATCACCGCATTTTCCAGCGCGAGAACGGCCTTGATGACACCAGCCATACCCGAAGCACCCTCCAAATGACCGATATTCGCTTTCACAGAGCCCATATAAAGCGGCCTATCCACCTTACGGCCATCGCGGAAAGCTTGTCCTACAGCAGCTGCTTCAATAGGATCACCGACCGGCGTGCCGGTTCCATGGGCTTCAACATAGTCGGTATCCTCAACGTTCAGTCCCGCAACACGATACGTATCCCGCAGCAAATCCAGCTGGGCCTGTTGGCTCGGCTGTGTGATACTCGGCGTCCTGCCATCCTGATTCGCACCAGTTGCCCTAATGACCGCCCTGACAACATCGCCATCCCTCAGTGCCGCATCCAGCGGCTTGAGCAAGACGAAGCCAAAGCCCTCGCCTCTAGCGTACCCATTCGCCTTGGCATCAAAACTATAGCTCTTTCCATCCACGCTCAGAAACCCGCCGTTACTGAGCGCAAGCGCCTGGCTCTCCGGTGTGATAAATGTGTTTGCGCCGCAGACAAGCGACATCTTGCTCTCTCCCGCAAGAATACTCTGCGCACCAAGATGCAGCGCGTACAACCCTGATGAACAAGCCGTATCGACCGTCAAACTCGGCCCTGCGAGATCGAAGAAATGACTGATGCGGTTACTCAGCATGGACGACCCATTTGCTGTGGCGTGATACCGGGACTGCGCACTAAAGTCTCGACCTGTTATTGTCTCGCCATCGCGCGAGAAGGAAGCGCAGTAGACGGATGTGGGAGAGCGAGAGAGTGTTTCCATCGGTATTCCGGCATTCTCAAATGTGCGATAGGCGCCTTCGAGGAGGCCGCGTTGTTGCGGGTCGAGGACTGAGGCTTCCGCGTAGGACATGTTGAAGAAGGGGGCGTCGAAACTGCGGGGGTCTTCTTCCATGAAATGGGCGTGGCGGATGCGTAGGCTGTCTAGGCGGTTTGGGTCGGGGTGGTAGAATGCTGTTAGTCCAAGTTAGCTTGGGGTCATTTTTGCTTCCGTGGAGAGAATAGTTGCATACCATCTATGTTGAAGCGGTCTGCGGGTATCTCTTTAGACACATTTCGAGCACTCATTATCAATTCCCAAAATGAGGAGGCAGATACGGCGTCGCCTGGGAACTTCATGTTCATGCCGATGATTGCTATGGGTGTTGTCTTGTCGGTAGTAGCCATGATTGCGGTATTTGGTATGGTACTCAAGCTTAACGTATACAAGCTTTTCCAACGTCTTGTAAGCTTCGTGCCAGGTGCAGATGCTCCTAGACTTAACAATAAAGTTTGTGGAAGATTACCTGGGATGGTCGCAAGTACAGTTGAAGTCTGGGAATTCGATATGTACAAGCTCGTTTCGTTGGGCAGACAGTGACCAAGCTTTGCTAAATACAACAGGCGCCTCGCCGAAAACCGCTTTCATCATGGTCATGACCCATGAGTACCTTCCTTGTCTCAAAGGACCAGAGTAGCTACCATAGTGTCAAGCACATTACCGTATGTGGAGACGCTAATCCGGTCAGTACCGCATGCGATTGTACCTACCTCGGTGGCTGTTGAACCGGCCGGACTCTATGAACTGTGGCTAGGGCGTAATCCGGTGGCTAGGTATTACTCCGGTGGTTAGGCCATAGCTCGGTGGCTTTACGTATGAAACGAGTACGATGCAGGGACCCTGTTGACCCACAAATAAAAACACCTCACCCTTCGAGGGCTCACCGCTGCCACTAAAGTCGTCCAGGTGGTAACGTGTTCAGATAATGGGTCCCAAACAGTATCTCCGAATTCCAACACAACGCAGTCGACATGTCTTTGTGGGACCGAATCAACAGTCGCCTGACCTTCCAAAGCGGTATAGGCTTCATGTACCGCCAACTGTTCATGCATCCTCCGCCAATCGCAGCAGAAGTCACTCTTGAAGGCCAAACAGCCATTATCACCGGCTCGAATACTGGCCTCGGTTTCGAGGCAGGGCGACAGCTCCTCCAGCTAGATCTCTCTCGGCTCATTCTAGCCGTTCGATCCCAGACCAAAGGCGATGTCGCAGCAGAAGCCCTCCGCAAGGAATTTCTTCGCGCTGAGATCGAAGTCTGGATCTTAGATATGGAAGATCCCGAATCTGTCGCGGCATTTGCCAGAAGATGTCAGACTCTGGGTAGAATTGACATAGTCGTTCTGAATGCCGGCGTGCAGAACAAGGACTACGCTGTCTCGCCCAAGACTGGAAATGAGCAGACTTTCCAGGTCAACTACCTCTCGACTATCATGTTGGCAGTGCTTCTCCTGCCGATATTGAGAGCCAAAAGCGGTTCGGCAGGAAGGCCAGCGAGGCTCACGATAGTGACATCGACCACGGCGTATTTTGCGCATTTTGACAACCAGCGACCAATCCTGCCGCAGTTCGACGAGAAGTATGACGTTACTAAGTGGTATGCGCGCGAGAAGTTGTTGCAGATGTTTTTCGTGAGGAAGCTGGCATCGCTGGTAAACTCCGATGAGGTGCTTATCAACACAGTTTGTCCTGGGCTGGTAGGAGAAACGGAGATCTGGCGTACTTTGAATACGAACGCTGTCATGAGGTATATTTTGATGGTGTACTTCGCTTTGTTTGGTAGAAGCTTGGCAGAGGGCGCCAGTACGTATGTCCATGCTGTAGTGGTCGCAGGTCGAGAAAGCCATGGATGCTTCTTGAGTGAGTGGGGAGTACGTCCGTAAGTCGAAAAACCGCAACGATGTACTTGGACTGAGGGCTTCGCTAACACTGTTGTAGTTATCCTGTTCTGATGTATTCAAAGCGTGGCGACGATCTGGAAAAGAAGATTCTGAGCGAGACCAGGCAGATGTTGGAATCCATGAACGTTTCGCATACCCAAATGCATGGCTTTTAGTTAGGAGAGTCAAACTCAAGTCACTATATCGCAGTGCCAAAAGAATCTGACGTCATCAAAACGCAAACACCTCTTTCCGCATCGAGTATTCCTACTAGCGAAGTCGAATAAGTCGTAAGCATGTTGCGTAGCTGCAAACTAGTACGTAAGAGGGGTGGTAGCTGCACTCGAGTTATTGAAGACAAGAAATGTTGTTGTTCGCGACGCGACAGATGGCGGGACGAGGTCCCTGCCAAGCCCACGGAGCCTCGGCTCCAGCCTCCGAGGTTTCTGCCTTACACACGCCTGGACAGACGATACCTGCGCTTCATCGTAAATGCCACCTCAGCTGTTCCAACACCAGATCTCTACCCCGAACTCAATCTTTCTTGTCTGAGAGCAAGCCTCACGTTCAAGGGTGGGTGCACGTAAGATGCGCGCACGCGTTGATCGTGCCATGGCTTCTCGAGCCATTCGCGGTCAACGAGCTCAACATCGTACCGCCACAGAAGCCGGGCCATTATCTGCTTTATCTCGGCATGCGCCAAACTAATTACACAGCCTCGGTCAGCAAATATATTCGCATGGATACAGGAGACGAATTGTCGAAGAGGAGCTGACCTACTTCTGACCGATACAGCTGCGTTTTCCTGTCGAGAAGGGCTGGAATGCCGCTTTCTTATCCGCTTCGAAGCGAGGATCTCCGAGCCAGCGTTCTGGAGCGAAGACTTCCGGTTCCGCGAAGTTAGCTGGGTTATGATACATCGCCCAGTGCCAAATGTCCACGCAGGTCTAGGTTTTTCCCATTGCAATCAGCGATGTGCTCACAAGTCCACAGAAGGATTTGTGGGAATGCTTTTGAGACTTACCCCTCCAGGCAGAAAGTGCCCCCCAACGACCTCGCCATTGCGCTGAATCAGTCGTGGCACTGAGCCTACGGCAGCCGGATGAATACGCAAGGTCTCGTCTATGACAGCCGAGAGGTATCTGAGACGCTGCGCGCTGAGGAGTGTGATCTCTTCTTCGCTATCGAAAGATGCGTCGATCTCTTTCCTTAGCTTACCGAGCGACGCAGGGTGGGTGCAGAGGAGATAAGTTGCCCCAGCAAGTCTGACTCAAAAGATGGTCAGTACATTGATACTTCCAAATGGAATGGACAAGAGAGGAAAGGCTCGTCATACGCAACTGCAGTTGTTTCGGACCCGGCTACGACGAAGATGCTCGCGTTATGGCAAATTGCCTCGAAGGAAAGGCCCTATCGCCCAATCGTTAGATTCACGAGCAGGATTGGGACCAAGACAGCATTTTGGATGCACTCACGCATTTCCCTTGAGCATTGTCGGATTTCATCTCTTCAATGAAGTCCGGCCGGCTGGGCTCCAAAGCTAAACGCTTCGCAACTTGAGTACGCATGAACAGATTATGCTTCGCAATGATCTTCTTGGCAAACAGTCTAACGAACGGGCTTATCATCGCCTCCAACAACGGATATGCCCGCCGGAAGTGTGCCATGTCATGCTGCGCAACGAAGAACTCCAATATTGTCGCAACCCATGGATGAAAGTTCCTCCGCTCCATATTCGCAAAAGACTCGCCGAAGCTGAGATCGCCAATGACATCAAACGAGAAGAAGTTGAACCACTTGGCCAGGTCCAGGCATCGACCTTCGACGCAGTGCTCTCCAAAACAGCTGAAGAGTTGGTCGATGTGGTGGCGGATGATACGCTCCTGGCGCTGTATGCCTTGCCCGGAGAACGCGGGCGCTAGCAGACGACGTTGATGCGTGTGAGATTCTGTGTCGGCCCCGATGATGCCTGAGGCGACTTCGGCTACAAAGCCTGGGTGCTTGAGGTTCTCTAGCTGACCGGGCTTACGATGCCCGTACACCTCTTTCCATGCTGTTGCGTGGAGGCATGACACTGAGTCTGGGCTTGTGCGGACAACGTCGCCGTACCTCTTGTGCAATGCCAGGACCTGTTTGTGCGGCGTGCTCGACCATGACATTAACAGGAGTGGGAGTGGCGATACAGACCACAGGAAAGGTCCGGGCACTTTCCTAAGTGGGTTAAAGTAGAGATTGTATACGACGGACCATACGGTATGCCCAAAGACCTGTAGCGTATGTCAGTAGAGGTATTCTACGTGTCAATCGTCCGGGGTTAATACGGCGCATAGGGCTGCTTCTAACGATACCCAGAATGAGAAGAGCTCCTGATGCTCAGTGAGCGTATCAAAAGGCCATGTCCTTGCGGAGCCCATTGTGCGCACAATGAAGAAAGCTTGTTATCAACGCTCTTTCGCAGTGTATACGAATACGAAATACGGGTTGTGTCAGCATCCCATGCACTGGAGAAAATGATTGCCGAGGTCGACAGCTCAACACCCGTAGTCGCGACGTCAACTATGGAAGAGGGTTGCACCGAACCTTACATTGCATGCCGTCTCGCTGCCCCCTACACCGGCTTAGTCGTGGTCTCCAACCAGGATCATGCATCTGCGGTGGAGTAGTGCAATGATCCCACCCACGCTCAGTGAGCCCTTCGACTTATTGACGACTACAAATATCCGGTCGCCGTTGTTGCACGTCAGCCAGCACCTAAGGTACCCACAGAGGAGCCGACGCGGCCGACAGACGATTTGGTCACAGAATCCAGATCAGCCATGGCGGTGTGAGGCTGAGGCCGAGGAACGTTCCGACAACAGCAACTAGCAGTTTATGTACGATGATACACGCTCGGTAGATTTCTAGTTGCATTCTGCGGCTATAGTGACAGAGGCGCAGGGAACGGCCCGAGCATGTCTTCAGTCTGTACTAGTACGCTTTGGATTTCGGTCTCTACGCGCACGGACGCGACACCCTCCAGCTAGATCGGCGGTGGCTGGGGTATCATCTCAACCACCGCCGACTCCGTCTTTCCATGCCTCACCACCGACGCGATCATCAGCCCCGCTTTCGCAGCAAGCTCGGCAAACGCCTTCTCACTGCGCACCTTTCCGCCGATGTTTAAGATGAACATGTCGACGGTGCTAGTGTATACACTCGGCTGTTCAGGGCGCAGATACTCAGCAATCAACACGCGCGAGTCGTCCGCGCAAGCCGCACGCACGTTCTTCAGAATCTGAAGAGCTTCGTGGTCGGACCAGTCGTTCAGGACGCGACGTATGTAATACACGAGAGCACCTAGAGGGGTCCGTCAGCTCGTTTCCCAGCGCATGTATCGTGTATCCCGAAAGGATAGAACTCGTTTTCCGTACCTTTGGTGGGCTGTTCCCCAAAGATGCTGTGCCCAATCTTCTTCACCGGGCCCAGAACAGCAGAATCTTGGTGCTCTTCCTCCGCCTCAGCGATGACATGCGGCTGATCCTGCAGGACACACCTGTCGGCAGGAATGGCAGGCGTCTCCTCCAAGATAGCCTTCAACGCCTGACCTTTCCCTCCGGCAACATCAACGATCAGCTCCCTCTCCGAACCGACGTTCCCTGCGGCAAATGCAGCTACCCAGCCAAAATCATACACACCCGTGACAGGAATGTCACCGTCAATGGCCATGGCCCCATTCATCCTTGTGGCCAACCCCGGGATCGCCGCCATGATTTCATACGCTGTCTTATCGGGCATGCCCAGCGCAAATCCTCCCGGGGAACGATTCGATCTAGCCGGCTCAGCGAGCCCGTTCGCCTCGAAGTAGTCTGTCCACCGCGTCGTTGGCCCCATGAAGAAGTCGAAGAGGTACGAATAAAATTGCGCGACGCGGGGGTCAGTGAATGCTTTTGACGCCGGTGTATGCGCCACACGACCAGGCTCCGGGCTAGTCAGCATGCCGATAGCGAGAAAGAAGGCTGTGAAGCGCTCCAGAAGTTTGTACTCTATGCTCAGCTTTTCCGTGAGGTCTTTGAGAGAGATTCCCTCTTCTGGAATGGCGTCGAAGATGCCGTGCTCAACGAAGACGCGCAATACGCCCATCTCGGCCATAGATGCGAAGTATTTGCCGATTGGCGTCTCAGCCAGAGAGAATTCGGCAGCCATGTTTGGATACTGGATGAATGAGAAGCAACACTGAACGGAACGCGATGGTTGGTCGAGAGAATTCACGATTGTGCGAAGACGTCGAATAAAGCTACAGAGCCAAGAGATCGTGCACGATAAGCAAGAGTCCCGGTCCTGCGAATTAAGTTTGTGTGGAATGCCTGTACTGGCAACGCCTCATTCCCGTCATGCGAGTGACCGCACTCGACATTACAGTAGCCCAGCTAGGTTTCCCGGTATTGTACAAAAGCGAAACACGAATCAGAAGCCCAAGAGATTGACCATAAGGATTCTGCCGAGCTCTCGACTAGACATGGACCCATGCCCCAAGCAGCCGAAAAGGCCCTTCTTCGTACCGGCAGTACCCGTTTTAGCTCGATTCACCGCAATAAGTCTCCCACGTGTTCTCGACACGTATCAGAACTCCGGCATCCAGTTGTGTGTACCTGGGAAGAATTGTAGCGGTCTAGAGTGTTGAGACGTAACCAACGTCACTTGGCAAGATCCCGTCCGACTGGTACTGCCTTCACAACAAAATTGGGACAAGCAAGCAACTGAGAATACTGGAACGTCAATCTGGCGTCCGTGCTCTAATGCACATTTTGATCGAGTGTTGACATCTAGTACGCGATCATCGAACTACTGGTGACAGCACTCGTTTTCCCAAACGCGTCTCTCACAAGCTCCTGTACCCAATTTGGCAACCCTTTCAACCATGAGATAGGCGCCGCGATACTAGGGATAAACAACTGAGCACCACGCCTGCTAATAATTTGCCTCACTATGATCTCAGCAACTTCCTCTGGCATCAACATCTTCTCGAGAATCTTTGGGTCTTGGCCACTTCTCAAGATCATCTCTTCAATCAAGGGCGTGCGGACCCAACTCGGATGCGCTATCGTAGTCTTGACACCCGGCGCTTTGTACCAGATCTTCAGCTCGCTCGTAAGACCCTCATGGAACGCCAAAGCCGCGGTCTTGGTTGCCACATAGT